GATTTCTTAATTTTGGGTTGGAAAAGTGGGGGTCGTCTTATACATGGGGGCATCTTATTGATGGAAAAATACAGTACATACCCATTACTGTAATATTTACATATTATATTTAAGAATGTTGCAAGAACATACTCACTCAAGAAATTCAGTAATATATTTCTGACTGCATTTTGACCAAGTCCATGGACTTGAATAATAATTTAAAGTTGGGGCCATTACATTATATTGGTGCTTTATTCCAGCTTCTTTACATTTAAAACTGTCATCATGAGGAATATTAAACCTAGCATACAACAAAAAATGCAAGATGAGTTCAGTGAGATACACTGCAAATGTTTATAATAATGCAAGCAAAGCTAAACTAATATATAATAATCATAAACATATCTGAATAATACAAAGATATGTTGGTATTCTCTGTGCTTTTCTAACAATTCATCTATAGTGCATTATATAAAACATTAAAATGAAATTTGCATGCTAAGCAATGCTTTTAGAATCTGGGCATTAAAATATTACAAATTAAAACCAATACGTGAATTACTTAAAAAAAAAACAGTAAAAATGAGGTTAAGTTTGAAGTCTTGCATACTACAGTACATGCCCACTTAAATTCTTTTCAAAATATGTTCCTTATCTCATGTTACTGTCCCATTATGAGGACATGGAATAGCATGGTGGGTCAGAGATTGAGATGTGGCATGAAAAAGAAAGCCCAAGATTTATACTGCATACACATAGCCTCAACACTTCACTCATTGGCAGTACTACTGCTCTTATAGGGCTACTACAGTTTGAAAACTCTAATCCACTACAGAAAAAAAAAAAAATAATAACATGGAAATATAGCACTACTTAGAAATACATGGTCTCATCCAATACAAACCAAAACCCATCACATTATGCTATGCTGTCTTTAACGCAAATATAAGATTTACTTGGCAAGAAAGCTATACTTACACATGCCCAAGTTCATGTGCTACTGTAAATGCAGCACTTAATCCATTTTCTTCACTGATAGAACAGCTACGCAGAGGGTCACACATTGTACCCAATTCAGCTAACCCTAGAAAATTGAATTTATTTAAATTTGAAAAACGTTCTACAGCACACATACTGTCTCCACAGATAAGCCTAGGTATGTGTATGTATCTGTGTGTTTCTGTGTGCGTATATTATTGATAATAATGTTTATATATATTGTGTGTTTATGTGTGGGTGTATATATGTTTATGCTCAGAATTCAGAACTTCTGCATAACAAAGTAATCCCATTAAAGATGTATTTATATTTTAATATGTCCACTGAGTAGTTACAGTACAGTTTTTGCTTTTATTTATTGAATTTAATTATTCATTGAAACTTCGCATAATCGTGTTTAACTTACCTAAGGTATCACATTTTTCTCTAGCTCTGCATATATCTTCCCTTAAAAAATAAAAATAAATGTTTTCTATGAAAATGTTATTGTCAAAACAACACAAGACACTGAACTGTAACAACTGCAGCATTCTAACTGCTATAGGTGTTACAGATTGAATGCAAAAGCCTGCGTAACTGGTCAAAGGTTTCTCTACCGCTAGTTGTAGACCTTAGGATCAGGTTGGCTGAGTGTGATCCTAAATACAGTGCTTCAAACTGATTTTTATTAAAATGAATTGTACATAATTCCAAAATATATTGTGGCATGTGATTCATATTATCACATGGAACGAGATTAACTGTCCTCAATCAACTACTACAGAGAGCCAGAGAACCATGACATAATTTTCCAATGCTCCTTCTTTTCCATTTCCAAATTGTCTTTTTCTCTTTCCCCTGATTTTTATATCTAACCTTATTCAACATGGTTCGTTAAAAGTTTAGAGAATGGAATGGCATTTACATTTAGCAATAATTCACAGGTTGAAATATATCTCAGAATTGTACCTAGTAAGAAGAACTGCAGTATCATGGTGAGAAGGATGAGTGTCATCCAGAACGTTTTGAGCCTGCTGCCAGAAACAGAAATTGCGAAGCGTAGTGGCGGCATTAAAACTAATAGCTGGTCCTTCCTGTGCAGAAATTATGAAGACAAAGCAGTCATGGCAAATGTAGTTATTTATAACATATTTTTATGTAAGACACATTCTGGAAAATAAATATAACATTATGAACTCAATTATTTCTACCACAAAAAGTGATGGCAGGATCAGAGTCAAATCTGGCCACCACTAATATAAAAATACCCAGTTCATTCTGCATAAACAGTTACAAGTTAATCCTAAGTATTTGAACAAGCCTATTGGTCTGGAATCTTTATTTTAAAAAAATCCTGAAAAACAAGCAACATTAACTTTATCCTGGAAGGCCGTTAGCAAGTACTATTTTAATTACATTAAAAATGTTTCTGAGCAGGCAAAAGAAATCTACTTCCCTTTGAAAGTCTTCCTTGGTTTCTAGATGCAATTTTTGCTTGCTGGGACACAAAACGTTAAATTCTAGCTCAGTATTGCAAAACCTACCCATACTAACTGAGATACTCATCAAGATTCATATATTGTTCCTTCCTTGAAGGTACACAGGCCTTAAATTAAATGAAAATGATTTTCTTGGACCTTAAAGCGAAGGGGCACAACAATTCCACACACCCCATAGACACAAAAAGCCATGAATGTTGTCTGGGAGTCCCTGTGAAATTTGCTGCTTACTGTAATTTCTAAGGTGACACAAAGAGAAATGTATGAAATAAAGAAAGAGTAACACGTTAATAAAATTTTGATTTTGATTTAATCAGTTATTAAATTGCTTTTTGTCTGGCTTGCTCATTTTTTCTCCTGGCCCTGCTCACTTTTGGAATGCAGACAATAGTGTGCCACTCAACTGTTAACTGTGATCCTTGACTCAAAAAAGGTTGCATTAGCAAAATAGTAAACTGTATTTTAAAATATAATTTTGTAACATAATTCATATGCAATGAAATGTATTTTCTTACCTGTTCATTGTGAACTACAATTAACTTTACAATCACTATATTTATTTGATTTCCTATACTTGCATCTTTGTAGATTGTTGCAACCTAAATAAATAAAAACCAAAATGTTAATATATTATTACACATGGTCCTTTTTTTTCTGGGCTAGACAAAACCATCTGTTGTTAATTAAAAAATGTATTGGCATGTGTATGTGTCTGAAAACTAAGCCACTTTATGTTGAACTACAAATCCTACTAGCCCTGAACCGAAGTGATGGTATTTAGAGTCCAAAAACTTGTAAAAGGTTACAGGTGTTAAACGTATGGACTATTTCATAATCTACTTTCCAAGACATACAGTATACTTTTGGACCCTTAGACTTCAATGGGACCAACTTATGAACTTGAGAAGCTAGTGGAACCATGCAATAACAATCATGCTGTTACAAATTACTGACAACAGCAATTCAGGTCTCCTACTTTTCCTGAATTCTTTGGTGTATTTATTAATGGGGCAAGTATTTTAACAGAACTTTATAGCTGCTTGAGCTCATATTCCTCAACTAACAAAGGCTTTTTCCCCTTATTTATTTGTGTTTTTATGAAATATAAATTTCTCAGCACGTCTTCACAATTTATCTCATCCACAATCCACTTAAGTCAAAGTTTTTTAACATCACATGAAATTAAACATTCACTTCCTTTATACACAACAGATTTATAGAAGCAAATATGGCATAACATGTATTTGTAGCATTATATCTGAGTTTTCACAAATCAGCTATGACAGCATCTTTACAGCCAGATTCCTATGAAAAGAAATTTGTCAATGGACTCAAACAATGAAGTAATGTGGGCCATATTCCAAAGAGATGTCTGGGGTTTGTGCCAGATTATTTCACTATCCCAGGGGAATGTGTAGCTCCTTCTTCCTTGTAGAATGAACCTCCAATATATATTATTCCTCTCATAGTGAGGTGGGGTATCCTACATGAGGCCACCCACAAAGAAAACAGAAGTCATCCATGACTGACACATGCAAAAATGCATTCATTTCCACCTTGAATGAAAAGGTAATTGTATGGATCCAAGCAACAAAGAGAAGAATAAAAGGGTAATATCTCATAGAATCAGGGAGGCAGTGAAGGACAGGAAGGCCTGGCGCGATATGGTTCATGGGGTCACGAAGAGTCGGACACGACTTAACGACTGAACAACAACAACAATCTCATAGAATCACTCTCTTCCATGATTGTTAAATCTCTGCCTTGCAAGGCTGCCAAGCCCTGAGTGCTTGGTTTACATTCCTAATTCCAAGGAAGAACAAGGAAATCTCATGACTCACGGCTATCCTGTAAGATTTTGTTGCAAGTCCCACTTACTGTATCAGGAAGAATAGTTTTCTTTGTGTTTAGAGAACTAGTTTCACAATTCTGTGCCCCTTGATCATTATTCTGAAGGAAGCAGAAGGGAAGTATAAAAGGCAAAAACATTTGTTTCTGAGCTATAGATTGGCTGAATGTCATCCTACATTGACATTGATGAAACATCATAAGGGATATGATGAAACATCATAGGGGATCAAATCAAGAAACACAGATTTACTTACTATTGACATGAGTGTTAATACATAATGCTGCAAGTTCTGTCCATGATGCTGAGCCATTCTGGCATCAGCTGTAACCATCACCTCTACATATCTTGGGTAAGAGAGGAAACGTTTTCTTCGGGAATGTGGATTGTTTCTATTATCCCCTACAGATAGGTTTTTTGAAGCATATTCTAAAACTGGATGGTCTTGAAGGACATTTCTGTGTTTCATAAAGCTGCTCTCATATGGAAATAGTAAAGTGCTTTTCTTTGGCTCTTCTGCAAAATAAAATGAGAAATTAGTATTATGCTGATAACTGACAGGAATCAAAATCCTAACATGTTTCATTTGCCAAGTTCCATAAGCAAATAATACGTTATTTGCTTTATTGTACTTCACATTCTGACAGCTGATACTGTCTTCTTTTACCAACATCACTGCAACAATTTGCGTAGTAGAAATGCACAGTTCTCACTCCCCAACTATTTGCGGTCCAGCATTTTTTTTTAGAACAGAAACAGAATTTCCCCACATAAGAACCTTTTCAATCCTATGTGTTTGCCTTGCTTGGTTGCCTAGAATTAATATTTATTTGTATATATTTTACTAATAGAGAAACACAAAAAACTCAGTTCTGTAATTCTGACTGTAATTCTGACAGAACCCTAACCCTATTCAAGACAGCCAGGTTGAGTATCTGAATACAGAACAGAAATATTAAAGTAGAAGAGAGATAACATTCACATGGAAAATATGGAAAAATATGTAAGTTTGGTCTGCACATAAATAACAATTACATGGTTGTTATTATTTATATCTTAAATGTCTGCTTAAGCTATTTGAGTATCATTAGTTCTTTCTCCACCATTCAGCAACTGACCACAACAGGTATACTAAAACTCTGGGTGAGGCAGCGACCCAGAGCATCTATTTTGTAGTTCCCAGAGTCCTCTTAGAATGGTTACGGCTAAAAATGTAGATTTATCTTTGCATTTTGCAGGATTTGGGAGGGGGTCTCCTGATAAAACTTTATAAAAATAGGTCCTTTCCCGCACACTTCTTGATTATGGACCTCAACATGTCATACAAATTATAGTGTACCTCCAGTCAAAAGAAATTGCATGCTTCTGACAGAGAACACCTCAACACTTACAACCAGTTAGACTCTTAGGCAACAATAACAAGCTTCGAAAAAGACAATATTACTTGAATCAGCGTTTGTTGATGATCAACCTATTCCAAGCAAAAATAAAGAATTTGCTTATTAATAAAAAGGATGTCCTAGACATGTTGATGGATTTCTGTACTACAGTTTCATCAGTTTCAGTATAAATCAACTCCAAAACTTGGTATGTATAAAAACTTGTACTCACGCTTAATAATTTTTAAATAGTATCATTCCAAAATCCTCCTACTTAAAAAACCAGACAACATAGCAACACCTATGCAGAGAAAGTAAATAGCCTCAAACAGGCCTCACTCTGATCCAGTAACTTGTATGCTTTTCTAAGTGTATGCAGCTTATAAAATATTTTCCACAACATTTTTTTTCTTAGAGATTCACAGCAACCTCCTGCAGTTGTGTCAGTACAACACAGGTACCTCATAATTGGTGGGATGCAGGCAACAGTATGCTGGCTGTAAAGACAGCCTCTAGATTATATAGTTTGCACAGAATGGTATAAGCATCCTTGGTATAAACAGACTGAAATGTGCCAAAATTCACTGATAATGTCCTTAACATTAGCGCAAGATGCAGTAGGTTGCACAAGCATGGGTATTTATGGGAATCTAATCTATACCTTGTCTATCTTACCAAAAAGTATTAATTTAAAGCCTTGATGATAAGTAGAGGTCAGTATCAATGGGCCCATCTGGTGACAGAAAAGTGGAGCAGCACAGTGAATGTTGTTATATAAACTAGTTGTAGCTGTATTGTTGAAGATATACTACAGTATAACCTTGATTTAATAAACTATTTGGAGAGGAAGTATCTGAGTAAAAACTGCATTCACAAAAATTGTCTTTTTGTTAGTTGCATAATTATATAATTGATGTAAATGGCATCATTTACAGTAACACTTCAATTTAATGAGCAAACTATTTAACAGTGAAACTTTTGATTTATTATACATCAGTCCTTTAAATGGGAATGAAATCTTATCCACTGTATCCAATGTACAGTCTTCTATACTAAGGTTTTGTTGCATTATGTGGCAAATGACAACATATTATAGGCTAGTCTCATCTACTTTTATCATTAAAAATGGCAGATAGAGGATTTAGTAGATGTCCCTTTCCTATGAAAACTGTATTTCTGAGGATAATAGATAGAACCATTTATTTCAGGGTGCGATAGACAAACTTTTGTGTGGCTGGAGTCCACACTTACCATTTGGGAGAATCCCAAAGGCCACAATGGGGTGATGATGCAGCAAGTGATGCAGGCACTGAGATTTTTGTTTCAGTTTTTGTAATTTGTAAAGTGTTATTTTGAAGACTATCTTCTTAAAAGGCATTTTAAGCCTATTTTAGGCTTACACTACCATTCATCTCTTTCCCGTCTCAAAACAGCAGGAAACCACACCTCCAATTGTCAGTGATTTCAAAGGAGGCCACAGAAGTCACAGACAGGAAAAAATGGCTTAGGGCCACATGATTTATGGGAAGGAAAGTAGTTGGGAAAACTCAAACTTTACATGGAAAAGGAAAATGCCATAAGGTTCAGTTTATTGTCAAATCTATTCTGAGCCAGGACTCACAAACACTACATCACTTCCAAAAGCCTCTATGAAACAAGCCTGATTAGACATATAATGTTCTAAGGACTGCAGTTGAGGCATATCTTATCGTTTCAGTTCACATCTTTTGGGAGAAGACACTTAGTTTATAATTCAGTAGGAATTCATATAAACAACATCAGAACTTTGAAACACTGCTATTTAGCATTCAAGAAAACCATACATCCTGGCCAAACAAGATGCACATATTAATGGGTAATTTTGTATCATTGTTCAAATATTTAGAAACTGCCAGACTTAAAATAAGAAACGCATATTTTATTGGCTTGTTTAAATAATTATAGGTATTTTGCATCAAGCAAAAATGCAATGCTGCTAGCTTTCCTGTACCTCTCAGCAGCATTCAATGCTGATTATAATATTCTTCTCAATTGCTTAGTAAGATTGCATTCTGGGATGTTTTGCAATTCTTCAGGTCCTTTCAGTCAGCCATATTCAGAAGGTGATTCTGGGGATTACTATTTGGCATTTCTATCTATACTGTTTCACAGAGTTCCATCTTGTCCACCAAATGGTTCAACTTCTACATGAAACAAATGGCAGAGATCATCTGGAATTCTTTTTGGGACACTGAAAGTAAACTGTTGATCAAGCCCCACTGCGGCTTCACAATGAAGCACACAAAAATAATCTGAAGCTGAAACCCAAAAAGATGGAGATGGTCTTGGTAAATAAGAAACTGGGCTTGAAAGATTAAAGTTAAGAAAGTTTTAGATGATGTTGCAATAAGGGACTGTTTTGTTTTGAACATGTCCTACTATTGAGATCTGCAGGTAATGCTTTCTGAAGACAACTATTTTTATTGATTGATTGATTGATTGATTGATTTGATTTCGATGCTGCGCAACTCCAACAAACTCTGAATGGCTTACAAAAATAAACAGCAATCCAAAAAAACCCAAAATATATTACAAAAAGAGCTACAAAGTAATTGGAAGATGGCAATCCAAACAACATATCAAAACACAGAACATCTTAAATGGGGGAGTCCCATCCATCTTATCCCAAGGGCTGGGAGAACAGACAGCTTTTCAAGGCTTTCCAGAATGCCACCAGGGTGGGAGCCATATGGACTTCATTCCAGAAGGCAGGCCCCTGTACAGAGAAGTGTGTTTCCTGAGTCCCGAAAGATGGCACTGAATAATCGAGGGGAGCTGGAATGTGCCCATCCTGCTGGAGCATACTGGACAGGCAGAAACTACAGGAGAGACAAGTGGTCTCTCAAATCATTGGGCCTTATGCTATATAGTGCTTCATAGGTAATAACCAGCACCTTCAATCAAATCCAGGAGCACACTGGCAACTTTGCAGCTCGTGAAGCAAAGATGCCACATGGCCATGCCATGGCAAGCCCATCACTACTCATGCCACCACACTCTGAACCAAATGAATTTTCTGAATGGTCTTCAAGGGCAGCCCAGGTACTGCTGCTAGATGGCTATTGGCAGACACAATAAGGGTGGAGTAATATTGACATTTCACCACCCTTATCATCACAAGGTGGTCCCTAATATGGCCTCTTACTCATGTGGTCAGTTTCGCTCCAGGACTTCCTCCAACAGTGCTCCAAGCATCTCTTCTGGCACTTCATCTCCCAGAGGTCTTCAGAAAACCAAGGTGCACCCCAGGAAAGGCACGCAGGGAGAGATTGCATAGGGGCAATGTAGTTCAAGGCCAGGCTACCCCACCCATTCCAGGCAGTGATTAAGGCCTCAGCTGAACCACCCACCAGATCCTCAGGGAAACCCCCTGAGCCACTCCAGACTCTATGCCACCAGGTAGCTAATTAAAATCCACAAGCATCAACCCAGCAATGGAATCCAGCAGCTGAGGCAATAGGGAAGGCATTCAGATTTGCAAGATTCTGTTACTGTAACCTTATAATAAAAATAGTATTAGCATTCATGACTTTGGTTTCCTAGTCTGGTCTACCCTGAAGGGCTGACTGTGCCTGTTTATTGGATCCTCAAAAAAGAGGCTATACAAAGAACAAAAGGCAAAGTATGAAGCAGCGTATGGACATAGTGAAAGGAGAGATAGTTTGCAAAGAAAGAAAGCAACTTGATATTTTATAGCCATGGTGGTGATGCCAACCTAATCCCAGCCTTCTTTCTACTGTATATATTTTTAGATTATGCCGTAGTATTTTCTGTTTTTATTTTGTATTTAAGCCTTCAGTCTATGAAAAGGATTAGAAGATTTCACCTATAACAATGAAACAGCTTCAACACAAGCTCATCTCTTACATCCATTTCTTGCTTGCTTTGAGCTAAGTATCCAAAAGCATAGGGATGTGAGTATGAAATATTAATTGACTGACTTAGGGAATTATGATGTACGATTATTTAGGTTTACAAAAAATCAATTTCCAATGTCTCTTTTCTTATTAATTTTTAATACAATTGTGCTGTACTTCATTTGGTATTAATTTTATACTTGGATTGCTCAGTATTCTACTTTATTAATTCTCCAGTGAAAACCTGATTACTTTGCCTTGTTTCAGAATAAAATAAATTCAATATATCTGCTCCTAAATTTCTTCATAACACTGGGATTACATATATCACAAAAATCAAATGACATAACCTAAAAAAAAATCTTTCCTATATATATAGCTAAACATACTGTATGAACACACCAACTGTGGCTTAATTAACAAACCAAGTTTCAAAACAATCTAGTTGAGATATGTGAGCCTTAACAATAAAATTAACCTACAGCCATCGCTTGTTGCATCTTATGTCTCAGTATCAGCATAAGGAGTAACAGGCAGCATCAGCAAATATTTAGGAAGATATCTGTAATATTAGCATAGAATAATATCAAAACTTTCTAATATCATTTTAATGCATACACACACTGTACAACAAGGTTTAGAGTTTAGCTATACCTGACGTTTCACAAGGCATATAGGAATTCTGAAAATAATCTTTCCTCAAGTCTTCATGTTTATATATAAGATGTAATTTGTTGTATTCTTCTTCATATTCCTCTTCATCTGCTCCCATCAAAGGTTCTAAAAAGTATTCTCCATCGTGGGATCTGAACATGCCCATCTGAAAGCAAACAAAGAAAAGGTCTCAGACACTGGGTGAAGCTTCAGCATAGGCTGTTTCCTAGAAAAAGCAAACAACTGTGAAAGAACACGTACCTAAGTGGTTAAAGAGAATGACATAACTTATGTAGTAGAGCAGCATCGTGCAGTGACAAAACGCTAGAGAACAGAATTGTGTGTGATATGTAGTTTGCCTTATGCCTTCCGATTCAGCCTGGTTTCCCAGGATGCTTTCTTGTCACCAGTGTTGAATAAAGATTAAGTGAGTTGGAATCTGAGGAATTTCAAAATGTCATGTTGTTGTTTAGGCAGCAAAATATATGACCCATCACTCTACATGGGGCTGCCCTTGAAGACTATCCAGAAGCTGCAAATGGCTCGGAATGCCATGGCATGCACAATTCTGGGTACACCACAGTTCGCTTGTGTTATACTACTGTTGTCTGAGCTATACTGGCTTCCGGTTTCTGGTGCAATATCACCTTTAAAGCCCTACATGGCATACAGCCAGGTTTTTTGTGGGACCATCTGCCTGTCCCACTAGGTTAGATAGGGTGGGTGCACTCCAGGTCCCTTTCCTTAAATGTTGTTACCTACTGGGACCTCAGAGGCACACCTACTCTATGTCTCTATAGCTGCCCTGGTCCTTTGGAATAGCCTCACATCTGAGATTCAGGAACTTCAGAAGACCGTGAAGATTTGGTTCTTCCCCCAAGCATTAGGCTAGGATGGGGCTGAGTTGGGGGTCAACAGTATGGGTGATTCTCGTCCCTTGGTGGGAAAGATACAATGTGTTTTATGTTACTGTTTTTACTTATTGCTGAAGATTGCCTAGGATCACGGTGTAGATAGGTGGCCATATAAGTTCTATAAATAAATAAAAATCCCAGCTTCACTAAGTTTTATAGAGCATATTCATGAACTGAGATATGTAGGATGGAGATATTATTCAAGACAGCAATGCACATGTGGATTAGTACAGAGTAAGACGGGCAATATACCATCTTCCAAGTGTTGTTCAACTGCAATGCCATCATCACTGGCCATGCTGAGATTTGCAGTTCAACAACATTGTTCCTCCTTGAGTTACAGCCTGTAATTCTAATGAAGTTATTTATAAATAAAAGCATAACATAGTAAATTGAGTTAAATAATCAGTCAATTAACATCAACTACAAACTTTTGTATAATTCTTCTAATTTATATGAAGCTTTATTTAACTAATCAGAAATCTAAAACAGCTATTTTTGTTGTTCAGTTGTTAAGTCATGGTAAAACAGCTATTACCAGACTTAATTCTGTCAGCTTTATAAATGATTTATCTGATACAAAGAAGCTGTATATAATAGTGCAACTATTTTTAATTGGATAATATATTAGAAACACAGCACATTTGAAATTGAGGAGAAAAATGCTTCTAATACAGAAAACATTTTAAAGTAATCTAGTATGCCATACTATAAGAATTTAGTCTGGAAATTCTAGTAACAGCTATACATGTTATTCACTAAATCCTTTTAGAAAATTAAATAGAAAAGTTACAAATATATATTTACATACATACTGTAATAAATGAAAAAGTTGCTTAGGATGAGAGAGGATGTAACAGTGATATGAAGCAAATAAAATCTAAAGATTTTTTTGAAATCTAAAGATCTTTCTCAACTGCAAGACTTGTGTGTGCTCCAAGACTATGACTGAGACAACTAACGTAGGTCTCATCACAAGGGTCACTGTGATTTGAGGGCAGATATATTAGTCACTGAATCCATCATTGCACCTCACTTCCCTCCCTATCATGCCATTTTACATAATTTTGTAGAACTACCAAATATGTTGGAAAAATGGATGACTGCTAGATGGCAGCAAAGTAGGGATTTTCTGCACCTTTTACTGCCACCTAGTGGTTGTCTGATAGAGTAGTCCTACTGCTATGATGCCATCATTTGCAGCACAGTGGACCTCTGGAGAAACACACCAAAACCAGAGTTTCTCAAAGACAAAGAAGGGCATGTATGTCAATGGTTTTCATATGTACAACTTGTAGAAAGATTTAAAGTTAATAAAAAGTCATATGGTTTTGAACAAAATAAAACTATTTTTGAAACTGAATTGTGCACTAACAATGAACATCCTATTGCTAAAATGCATAAGCTTTTGCTGAGATTTGAAACAGAAGATGAACAAGTTAAAGATTGTATGATAAAATGGGCTAGAAGTTTTGGATATAACATACAAATGGAACAATGGGAAACTGAAAGGGTAAAAATTTGCACTGAGTTATAACTTGAAGGAGAATTTCTATAAAATGAGGTACTGATGGTATTTGTCACCAGAAAGATTATCAAAAATGTATAAAGGGACTTCAAATATGTGTTGGAAATGTGAACAAGAAGGAACTTTCTATCATCTTTGGTGGACATGTAATAAAGCTGAAAAATTTTGGACTCAAGTTTATTTTTTTTAATAAATCAAATAACTGGGTTCCATTTTGAAATCTAGGTTTTGATTGAACCCAAACAATCATCATTTGTAGTTTAATATGTAACAAGCATTTTTAATACTGGAGCATTTGATCTTGCATACAGGTATGCATGTGCAGGTGACGTACGAGATACACTGTTGGTACAACAATTACACATAACTGATGTATTATACCACTATACTGGAATAACTACTTCAGATAAAAGTTCTACTATAAGCTATAGGCATATGATTTTTCACTGAGGTAACATTATCAGTAACATTATCAAGTCTGCATCAAGTAAATTATGTAATTCCAGTTCAGCTATAAAGACCAAGGGTTTTAAGATATAAAAGTATCCACCAATTTTGACACAGTATTATTATGAGTTATATCAAATATGTCATTTTGATATTTAAAATAATGAGTAGCTTTCACTTACACACTTACACATAAACACATTGGCATTTACAAACACTGACATCCCATGTACACATATAGATAGGATGAAGATATTAGTAGATAAATCAACTCAAAACCAGTTAACAAAATATTTAAGTCATAATGATATGAGGAATGGTGTGGGACAAACAGGCTGCATTTTTTTTAATCCCATGGAGCAGGCAATAGGCAATGTGAGGCCTAACAAGTAGGAGCTGTGTTGGATCAAGTCTAAGGTTATCTAGTCTAGCATTCTATCACAGAGTGGCCAATCAGATATATCCAGAACACCCCTTCTACTTTTCTTCCCTAGCAGATTGATATTTAAGGTACATTGCTCTATCACAGCTATACAGTAGGTTGTATTCAAAAATATGCTTCCAAGCATGGGGTTGCAACCATGCAAGTCCGGGAAAAAACACACAGCTGCTTTAAAGAATTATAGATATGTGCTATGGGAGCACTCCCATGTATTCCAAATCAACTAAAACAAAGACATACAGTCTTTTCTTGTAGGACAACTTTTTTGATTCCCAAATCATTGATTGTTCTTTTCAGTACTTTTTTCAGATCAACAATATTATTGACCCAAACATTAGTCCAAGTGTAGTTAAACCTGAAATTCGTTTAAGTGCATGACTGTGTTGCCAGTTTTATTTTCTAGATCAGTGTTTCTCAATCTTGGGAACTTTAAGATGTGTAGACTTCAACGCCCAGAATTTCCCAGCCTGCATGGCTGCCTGGGGAATTCTGGAAGTTGAAGCCCACACTTCTTAAAGTTCCCAAGGTTGAGAAACACCGTTCTAGATGATTCCTAGCAAGAAATTCATGCACAGGGCCAACAGTTTTTGCTGAGCTATCTACCATGCCACCAAGGTCCCCTTCCTGGTTAGTCACTTTCCCCTCAAAGTCCTGCATTGTTTCATTCTATAGAAATACATATACGTAATTACTCTCTACATGCTTTCAGTAGTAGCGTAGTAAAAGTTCTGCATGCTTTCAATAGTAGCTCTGAATTTTGGTGATTTCTGACTCAATAGTTCTTTGGCAGCAAATCAAAACTGCTTATGTAGCCAGGCCTTTCCTTAAAAAATGTGAATGAGCTAAGCATTGTCTGTGTCTCTTAGAAACTATCATCCGTGATTAACACAACCCACAATGACAGACAAGAAAATTACTGAAAAAGAAAAGGAAAGGATAAAATTAACAAAGAGATCATCACTCTGTAAAAGGCTATATAACAAGTGAGCTAAGATCTCTTTTGGCCCATTGGCTTAAGGATAAGGGCTTTCTATTCTTGAAGCTTACGTGCATACGTGGGTGTATTCAAAGTGTCCGTTTCAAACACACTTTTAACGTTATTTCTGCTAACTTAAAATAATTACACTTTGTGATAAAACCCTAAGTACAAATAAGCAATAACTATGAACACATAATTAATCCATTTAGCCCTGCAGGATAATCATCAGCTGAATCAGTCAAAAACTCCTTTGTAGATCAACAGACCAAGACTCTATCAAAGACCATTTATAGCCCACTACAAAGGCATGAGGTCAAATTGTGACTTTCCACCAACAAGTTTAAATTTCGGTTACTTGAATGGAAGTTGTACAGGCACAAAAAGGACAAAGGCCCTTTGATTAAGATATACAATATACTCAATAGAAGCATGTCTTCTAAATCTCCGAACAAGAACAACAAAAAAGAGGTATTCAAGTATTTTACATTTTGACAATGTGATTTTTAAATTCAGAATTAAATAGGTTTGTATTATATTAAGACAATATTAAATTTTTAAAGGTAAAGACAAATTATTAACTTAAATGAGTTAATCACAAAAAGGCAAGTCATGTGCAGAACTGCACAGCTGTCAAAAGGTAAATGCCATCATATATTTTGGGATTACTATTATTTACAGACATAGAGAAGTTTACTGTCTTTTAGAATACAATTAAATCTTATGTAAGGCTGATACTATAAGGTCTTTCAACAAGAGGAAGACCAATGGTATCTCTTCTTAGATAACAGTAGTTCAGCTGTGTCCACTTCCATTGCTTTTAACGTTCAGATGGCAGGTGTGAAGAACAGCTGCATTC